TTCCTTTAAGCTTATATTAGAGCTTAGTTAAGAAGAGTAGTAGGTTCTTTTTCCTTCCTATAAATAATAGCAGGTTAGGGAGCTTCTTAAATTAGATATTTAGAGTAGCTTAGGTTATTAGGGGCGTCTATTAAAAGAGAGATAAGCTAGTTCTAGACTTTTAGGTAGTTATAGGCGCTAGTTAAGCCTTAGCCTCTACTACAGCTTTAGGTAAGAGAGAGGCTAACTATTTAATAGCAGCTAAACGTTCTTTAAATTCTTATTAGAGGGCAGCTATATTATTATAGTGTTAGGCCTCTTACTAGGTAAGAATCTGCTATATCGCTTTATTACTAGCCTTAATTACCTTACTGCTAGCTTAGATAGACGCTAGTTTAGTAAGGATCTATTATATTAAGTCTACGTTAGTAGCTATAATAGCTAGGGGTAGGAACATAATATAATATTATAAGAACGTAATAAGTAGGCCTTTAGTTCTTATAGTAAAGACTAATTAATTACTGCGTATAATATCTAGGTAATATAAGACGTTGTGTATAGAATAGAAATAGCGAAATAGGTGCAAAGTAGAAATACTTAGGAGGGTAGTCTATACTTCTAGTGCGCAGACTAACTGCTAGTTAGGGTAAAGTTTAGAGAATAGTTCTAGGCGTACTAATAACAGTACGAACAGAACTTAGTAGTGTTAGAGGATCTAGGGAGGATACTATAACAGCGCTAGTTAAGCCTTAGCCTCTACTATAGCTTTAGGTAGAAGAAAGGCTAACTATTTAATAGTAGCTAAACGTTCTTTAAATTCTTATTAGAGGGTAGCTATATTATTATAGTATTAAGCTTCTTACTAGGTAAAAGTCTACTATAACGCTTTATTACTAGCCTTAATTACCTTACTACTAGCTTAAATAGACGCTAGTTTAGTAAGAATTTATTATATTAGGTTCGCGTTAGTAGCTATAATAGCTAAAGGTAAAAATATAACGTAATATTATAAGAACGTAATAAGTAGGCCTTTAGTTCTTATAGTAAAGACTAATTAATTACTATATATAATATTTAGGTAATATAAAACGTTGTATATAGAATAGAAATAGTAAAATAGGTATAAAGTAGAAATACTTAGGGGGGTAGTCTGTGCTTCTAGTGCGCAGACTAACTGCTAGTTAGGGTAAAGTTTAAAGAATAGTTCTAGGCGTACTAATAATAGTATAAACAGGACTTAGCAGTATTAGGGGATCTAGGGAGGATACCGTAACAGGGAGGCCCTAGAGGGCGCATCTAGCACCCTAGCTATCTCTATACGTCGCAGCCGCAACGTTAAGCTTTCTAGTAGATATAAATAGCGCAAATTAATCGCAAGGATTAAAATAGTACTACTCTAGAAAATTATGTAATAATATTCATTATAGGTGGCTCTATTACCTAATTGCTAATATTAGTCGTTTTTAGAATAATTACTACAGCTTGGCATCCCCTAGCTAGCTACACCTTAGATTCTTAAAGTAGTATAACTTTCTTATTTCTTTATAAAAAAAATTAAATTTTTTATATGTTATACTTTCTTACGCCCTCTTTACTCCTATATAGATTTTATTCATTAATACTTATATATAATATATTTATCTTTAATTTTCTTATTTTGCAGAGTTAGTGAGGGCGCTAAAAGGAGCTAATTTAGCCTATACTTAAATATACTTAGTAGGTATCTAATATCCGCACAGGCCCCACCTGCGCGGCCAGCGCCAAGCTGTAGCGATCATTCTGAAAACCATAATAGAGCATTTTTGGTATCGGTGTTGCATCGCGCGAATCCGCGCATCGCGCGCACAGACACGGTATATGAATACGACAGATCCTGATTGCTTTTCCAAGTCCATCGATGAGCTGTCCCAGAACCAAACCACTTCTTAAGAAATGCTTTTCCTCTAAACGGCGAAGAAGTAAGGGATAGTTCCTGGATTAACAGCTCTCCAGATATACGGCACACCCTCGCTTAAACCATTCTTATTAAAGCTCTTCGCCCTAATCTTCGCACTCAAGGCCTTCACCCTAGTCATGAACGCCCCAGCTTCCTTCCTCGTCTGCTCATGCATCCTCGCCAACGTCTCCTGGTCGCCAAAAGCATGAGCCAGGGTTCTATTTTGCTCCTCGTACAATGGGCGGTTTAACGTTGTCAGGGAGACGATATACGCAAGGGACTGTGCTGGGTTTGGCAGAAACGGCATAAGATCCGCTACGCCCTTCTTTATACGCACAAGCGCATACATGCCGTTGAAGTGGAAGGGCCGTATGGCTTTGGAACTGACGGGGTCACCGCCGTTGAGGGAGTGATGCGCGACTCTGTTGATACAACCAAAGTGCGTCAGAACGTCGACAAGCACGTCTTTCGTGCATGGGTGGCATCCGGTCTCACACTGCGGGAAGTCATGGACCTTTGCCACCTTGTTTGCTTCGGCGAACCAGTTCTGCAACTCTATGTCATCGACCATGACGGCGTCTGAAGCGTAGTATGAGTCCACAGCGCCTGTGGAGAAGGCTTTGAAGGTATCGCGAATCTCGAAGGCATCGGAGAGGAACGGGAAGGATTTGAAGGGGTGTTTGGGGTCGTGGGGGCCGGAGACCAAACCGCGATCATGCATGTTATTGAGAAGGTAACTAGACTAGTATTTGCCTGCGGAGGGCCAGAATTCAGTGACAAAAGCTCTGCATCTGCTGAGAGTTAGAATTTGCCGACAAAGGAACATAAAATTTAATACGTACCCTTTCTCACTTATAAGAAAATTCTTATCCCAGTGTCCATCTGGATTGAAGCACAATTCTTCACCTACACTATATCAAATCAGTTTTCCGTGGTTAACATTTAAATGGACCTCGGAGGTGAACTTAGGAACGAGTAGAGTATGCTTGAAACATGAACCTCTGTAGCAGCAGCATCACCGGATGCTCTTCACTCAACGTTTGAAGAGCAGCTTGATGCACCGCCTCGCCAACATCATGGATTGCGACGAGATGGAACGTCTGTATATGAAACATGTCGTTTACGTTGAATATTATCTTGGCGAGCAGCCTGTCCGTCACGGTATCGGCAGGGGTATAGACGAGGTTGGACCCACGTTGATCTTGATGGTAAGGGGCAGGAAGTCTTTTGACGTTAGGTGAATGTAGAATAGAGCAGTACAGGATGCAGCAAATTTGGTATAATTTCCTGTAGCGAGAGTGTACTTCTCTTGGTACTTGTCTTTGTTCTCGGTCAGTAGGCTTGGAAGGTGTGGGTTAGGAAACATACGGTCAATAATGAACAAGCTTCCTGGCGCCTTCAAGGCGTCCAAAGCCGTGCCAGTAACCTTCTTCACAACGTGCTCATCGACCTCAAATGGCATTGGCGCCATCTTCTTAACCAATTATAACGGATACGGGTTCTGCGCAAGTCGCTCCATGCTAAAAAGCAGAGCTTGAGTGTAGTTAGTCAAAATACCCGGAGCTTAATGCGCTAGGATAGACTCGCTCCACTTGTTCATGTAGAGAAAATTAACGCGGTCGTCCAGTGTCTTAAAGGTGCCGCTGTGGGCAGCAATGGCCGCCTTCATGGCGCCTATGTCTTTCGCGATGTCACCCTCAGTCAGCTTTCGATCGATGTCCCACAGCGCGAGATCTTGCTCCTTTATAGCATCGCCAGGTAGGCCAGTAGGGAAGAAGGCGGCCTCGCCGATTAAAGAGGGACTATACTGGTACCCCGCTTTGCGATTAGCAACCACGGTGGCGCGCTCAAGAGGGTATAAAGATTTATAAGATATAGAGGCCGGGGACGCCTTGGACGCGGCTCAGCAGGTAAGGTATAAGAGTTTCTATGCCACTTCCGTGAGAGCGAGGGCGCTAAGCAACAGCAGGGGGTTACCAATGTGCATAGTGGGGGTGTGAGTGAAAAGGAGAGTTAGAGAGTGGAGGATGAGGGAGTAGGGATTGCAGAGAAAGCTAGGGTGGCGCGTTTACCGTAAACAATCGCCTTGATTATATACTGGCGCGATTGAGGGCTAAGATGTTTTTGGAATACAGGATGACAGGCACGTTTACGAAATTAACCCACTCCTTTCTAAAGCTCACACGACAGGAAATTCCGCAGCACAAGAATGCATGGGCACGCCGACTATAATGGTATGACTGCCAAGTATCGTGACATCGACACCTATCGCACTGCCCGAAGTCGCTCTAAGATTCCCTCCGGGCACAAATCTCGCGCGACAGAAAATCTCCGCATGGCGAAACAGAATAATGGACAATTAGGTTCTCTTAAGTTCTTAATATTGGAGTTCGGTCTTATTTGTCGGCCCTCCGGAGATGGAGGCTGGATATTAGAAGATGCTTCTACAGAGCAAGGTGGAGTTAAAGGAGCTTATTCCCAGTGTATGACTAATATTAGTGGCTAGTGCATTAATAGTAGTAACTACCGCGGAAGACTTTCTTTATAAATGTAAATAGACATAATGTGCTAGGTAAGTGTAGTATGCTGATGGATGGAGTAGAGTAAGAGTGGTAGATTAGAGAGGCAAGTTTTTTAATTCATACAAGCTAAAGTAACGAAAAATAAAAAGTGTATGAACCTGACGTTTTGTCAGCTCCCTATTAAATATTCGTGTGCTTTTAATCTTATGCTTAGGCTTGCTGCTCTTAGTGCTTTTCTTTGTAATCTAAGTATTTGAAGTCCGGACCCTAAGAGCTAGACGCCGCGAGCCTATTATTAATAAGAGGCCACCCGCTAAGAGCTGTAAGCCGCAAGACCATAGCACAGATCCCTAGGAATGGTTTTGGAGCTTTATTACGTGTTGCGAGCCGGGGGGGTTCTAATACCAATGTTTATGTTCCGCAGAAATTATTATTAAGGCAAATCCGCAACCATCCATCCACTAACATCGCACATCCCCTAGCCCTTAAAAATCTCCGCAACATGCTCTAAACGTTCCTGTATACATTTCCGCGCAAAAGAAAGGCAAAAAGAGGGGCAAAAATGGACTTGCTGGGAATCGAACCCAGGACCTTTCCCATTTAGAAACGCACAGTAATTGCTGCACAAATCGCTGTAAGATGCTAAGGGAAAATTATACCACTAAACCACAAGCCCTTGACAGGTACCATGTTCCTAACTGATGACAATTTTTAAATTTTTAAATATATATATACTAAATAAAATTTTACCTTAAGTGGAGACAAGGATGGTGGCATTCCTCGCTTAACACCAGAACGCTAATATGCTAGCATGAAAATGCCATCCGCTCTCTCAAGAACGGGCAACTGCGAGTTTTGTCTCTACTATGCGTCGAGTAGCAGAGGCGTATTTAATTTTTTAAAGGTTGCTATACATACATAAAAACGAGAAACGAGAAACGAGAATCGCGAAACGGACCCCTTACAAGGCGTACGCTCTGGCTAAGATTAGGCAGGACGCCGAGCCAATGGAATGCCTACCGCAAGGCTAGCCAGCGTTAATGGCCCTGCGCCATCCCCGTCCTCAAGTGTCCAAGGATCAGTCGCAGGTGTTAGCGCCCTTATTAACATTAACGTGCCAGCTGGCAGGTGATAAGGTGGGTGCACCGCCTGCCGGCATGTCCATTCCCTCTCCCCCCCTTTATTCCCCTTCTTCTGTACTCACTATCTCACCACGCCCTCACCGTTAGCAAAGCTAGTCATGGGTCTCTTCGGGGACATTGTCGAGGTTACCGCTGGCGATAATAAGAAAGTTTTAATTTTCGAAGCCATGGCCCCCTACGAGAAAAAAAAAGCCAAGCGAGTAATAAAGCAATAGCAGAGGTTCGTGAGTTTGTTAATTGTCTTATGCAGTAGACTAACAATAATTAGCTTCGCTGTCCATCTGCCATCTTCTAAGAAAGAGAGAGAGACTACAGAACCCTTTTAGTCGCCACCAACAACTCCCTTCATTAAGGGATATCTAATTTAGAGGGTCAAGACAGCAGTTCCAAGGCTCGGCAACAAGATAACTGTCCTAACCCCAATTAAAGAGTTCAAGCAACTCCGCCGTATTGTGCGTCTAGGGCTAAACCACGAGTACGCTGCGAAAGAGACGGCAATAATCTAACAAGTAAGCATCTTCCCTCAGCACATTATAGCGCTTCTATGTTAATGTAACGCCAGTTCATTAAAGACGAGCTGCGCATAAAAGAGGGCGCTACCACCCAGACCAGGAAAAAAGCAGTAGCATTTGAACCGGACGGAGGGATCTTCATACACCATCTCTAGCGCCAGAGCGAGCACATCTATAGGCACCCACGTATGATGATTCAGCTCACTTAGTTTATCATAATCGCGGTGCTCTGGGGCTTGCGACCTGGTAAGGTCGTAGAGTCTAGTGGCCTTCAGGGCACGGCCCAGGGCATCACCTATAGTGACATCGCGTTTCAACTTTCCAGACATAACGGCCGCATACTGTACCAAATCAGAGTGGCCTTGCGATTTCGGAAGGGTGCGCGTGGCATTCAGTCTTTGCAGTATATTAATCCCTATCTCAGCCAAAGGGTGGCCCTAACTTTCAGTAGGCAAGAAATTTTGCTTCAAGAGAACACAGACAACAGATTTTTATGCCCGGTAACGTGGTTTCTATGCATGGCTCTGGCAGACAATGTCTTCCTGAACCACACTGCCGTTAATTTTAAGAATCGTTACCTTTCACCAACAACCTCGTCGAGAGAATTTGCCATTCGAAGCAACAAGAAGGAACTACCGGTGCTTCGTGCAGTACGTAGGGAGGTGATTTCTGACACTATGATGTGCGCCGTCACTATAAATTCGATGCTGCGGGACCTCGGTGCAAGATGTAGGTATAAGGATATAGTCACCTGCTACTCATTTCGACGCGGTTTTGCAAATGCAATAGAAGGTGAGGACTGAATTGTTGGTGGAATTGGCCACTGTAACTAATTAGTCCGCTAGATAAGGTCTCTGCCCCACAAAAGAGGCAAGCAATGAGCCACAAGGACGATGCCACGTTTCGGTCGTACATCACGCCTACCATTAGCATCGACACGCATAACCTTGTCCGCGGCCTCCCCGAAGACAGAGAGTTGGTCAACTTCTTCCGCGGGATATTCTACGCACGAGACCCTGGTGCTCCGCAGCCGCCCTCATCCTCGCTTTGTAGAAGCGACGGCCCACTCCCACCAGATCTAGTCGCAACAGTCAAAGCTGAATTCCCTCATGTAGCCAACCCTAGCGAACTGAATGCTCTTTTCAGGGTAGTCACCTAGCGCGGCCTGGTAATCCGTCAAGGCCAGTGTCCCTTTTGTCTGGAGCGGTGGGACGACCGCCCGAGTCTCAAGGATCACGTCGACAATCATATTACATCCACGCCTGAGGAATCAATCGCATGTCCTGCTCCGGATTGCGGTTGCGCACAGCCTTCAAAGTACGAACTACAGACTCACCTCTCCAATTTCCACGGTATTGGCCTTGAGCACCGATCGAACACGGAGCTAGAAGACAATTAGGGGTGATAGTTCCAAGCATGGTATAGATGGTGTCCTGTGAGCAGGGTGTCTCCGCTGGGTATGTAGAGTACGGATTAGAAATAGCTTATAGGTATAGAGTAACATAGCGTGCAATCAGTTTTAGTGGAAAATCCGAAGCTTCTTATGCAACATGTCTACCAGAGACTTGGGCGTTGTAGTTCGCTGTCTCCATTAACTAACGTACCAACGCCTCCTAGAGCAGATAAGAAAACCGCCGACCGTTCCACGGATGCCTCACCCCAGATAACAACCCCATGTGCAAGAGGATGCCGATGGCGCAGCTGCAAGGACCTAGCCATACAATGAACCATCACTCTACGTGATCATCCTGATTTCACTGCAGTGATTGGTTAGCCGACATCCTCACCCGCAAGAGCTCTTACTCCGACCTTGGATTTGCGCCCCAGACGGATAATGCGCCCCGGATACAGGACGGCGCCTTTCCTCTGCATTATGGTTCTTCGAACCCCCATCTGTCTCCAAAGCAACTGCATCTTGCTCTGCGTCGCCTTCAATGTTCGTTCCAATCCAGTCATACGTTCCATCAATCTCTCCGCAACCTTTAGTAGACCGGCCTCTGATCCTGAATTCAGTGTACTTAACTCATAAGTCTAAGTCCAAGAGTCAGCGATCGCTTTTGTTTAAGATGGATGATATTCTTACATGTCTCTGCTTTCCGAAGATCGTGAATCCGTCCTGGTTGCACTATGCTAGGTCCTACAGGTCTGATAGGCACACTCAAATATCCTCCTTGTTCCGGCATGTAAGGCAGATAAGTCTGACCAACGTTCATCTCGGCCCACGGAGCAGCATACACCGCATCCATCGAAGCCGTTGCACTTTGCGATATCGTTTTTTCGTTCGAGAAGGGAGGGGAAGCCAGATATAGCCAGTTGCTGTCGTCCGTAAACATGGAGACGCCAACACTGTTGCTTCCCGCGTCCATAGCAAACGCAAATAACGGCGCGTCATGTCTTGCTTGCGCTCTCTCTGTTCCTTAGAGGCAGCTGTTGATCGTAGTCGCGTCGCTGCTGCTCTCAATCGTGGTGGCACTTTTGTGGCGGATGTTTTCGTTTTCAGCATTTTCGATTGGGCTCTCATGGTTATCGGTCGTTTGCGAATAACCTGCTGCACCCCGTGATACCAAGGCTCGGTACCCTGCCTTGGCAGTCAATGCGCGCAATCAGTCAACGCGCGCGCGAGAGATGCAACACCCAACTTTGCCACTACATAACACTGCTAATATAGACCTAATTAAGGCTGCGTAATTAAATTGCTAGGACTAGAAGAGAATTTTATATATATAAAAATAGCGAAAAGATTTAGTGTTATTGTCACGGCGACGTGCATCACTGTCGAACGCTAGATGGGCAAGCATCAGATCCGAGGTAATTGATGGCTACGTACAGCTGCCATGATGGCTCAAGACATCTAGATAAGGAGAGAAAAGGAGAGAAGCGAGGATCTGGCTATATATACGGTGCCCTGGTCTGTGCGCAAGCGAATGTGGCACGGTGGCTAGCCAGGGGCAAGCACCGTGACAGTTATACAGTCTACGTTAACGCGAAGGCACTAACGCGTATCGCGCGCGCACGAAGTTACTTATAAGAATTAACAAAATCTTAACTAACACTAAGAGAGGGAGCTTCTATAATATATTAAACGCCTTACTAAGCGTGGCCTACCTCCTATACGTTAAATAATATAAAATTTTACGTTCTGTATTATTAAGAAGGATGTCTTAATAGCGTAGGCTAATTAATTTATTAAGCGTTACTAAGAGAACTTAATATTAAGGTAGTTAGCTAGGCTTAATAGAAATTGCTATAATGCTAATTTAAAGATAAAATATAGGCTCTACTTTAAGCTTCTATATAAGAAGATTATAAAGTATAATATAGAATCTTAGCATATATATAATATAGATAAGAAAGGCTTTCTTCTTAGTATTACTAGCTATTTAAAAAGGTTATTTAATAGGCCTCTATATATAAGTTAATAAGTAAGGCAGGCACTATAAGATAGCTTTTATAAGTAAATTTTAATACTTTTATATATTTATACTAATAGCTCTACTATTAATCTAGTCTTAGTCTATAGATCTAACGCTAAGATCCTATAATTAAGCTAGGTTAAAGAAATTAATAGTAACTCTTATAGAGTCTTTATTATCTTATTAACGTCTAGCTAGTTAAATAATTAAATTAGCATTATATAGCTTAAATAGGTCTTTAATTAGTATACTAAACTAAAAGCTAGATAATTATATTAATTACTAATAGTTAATAGCTATATGTCTTACCTTATTATAGATTTTATTAACTATTATAACTAGAATAGAATATTTCTTATAATACTTTCTTCTTATTTAACCTATACGTTATAGCCTCTTAACGTCTATATATTTAAGTCTCTCTTAGCTACTTACTTATAGGAGTTATTAGAATATCTCTATAAGAGCTAAGAACTATTAATAGTTATAAAGAGAGATTTCTTTACCCTTTTCTAGAAGTTTTAGGTTACTACTGCTACGCCGTAATTAATTATAAAATCTTTTAAATATATAGAAATCTAGCTACCTAATTTATTAACTATCCTTAAG